TCTACATTGTAAAGCGGCGCTATTACATAGATTAACGAGCGTGAAAGTATCTTGGCGGTGGAAGAAAGATGAACAAAATTCCTTCGATGAGGTTAAGAAATTATTGTCATCCAAGGAGGAAACGTTAATTCCATATAACGCGCAGTTGCCTATAATTTTGGAATGCGACGCATCTGATTCAGGATTAGGGGCTGTGTTGTTACATCAATTAGTAGACGGAAGGACAAAACCTATTTCGTTCGCGTCACGTACTTTATTAGAATCAGAGAAACACTACGCTCCGATTGATAAAGAAGCTCGAGCACTTTTATTTGGTATTGAAAAATTATTTATTTATTTATGGTAGAAAATTTTTACTTCGAACTGATCATAAACCATTAGAGCGATTATTTGGGGAGAAACGCGATTTAACCAAAATTTATAATAATCGATTGACACGTTGGGCCTGGAAGATGGCTTCTTATGATTTTACAATAGAATATAGACCTGGTAATAAAATTGTAATAGCCGACGCATTATCAAGGCTTCCGATATTAGACACGGAAGAGAATCAAGATTCTAAACATGCTTTGGATATTGTAAGTATTAATTTGGATGATATGCAATTGTCAGAAAATATTATACGAAAAGAGTCGAAGCAAGATTTAATATTAAAAAAATAGCAATACATATTCAGCAAAGTTGGCGCAACTTTGATCGTCATAAAGATAAAAAAATAGTTAATTTTTATAATTGACGGGAAGTTTCGATCGTTATATTATAGTGGAATGGGAGATTGGTTATTCCTAATAAATTAAGAAATGCAGTGTTAGGAATGATTCGCCGGGGGCATCCGGGGAAAATGTAATGAAATCTATTGTTCATCAAGAAACCGTAAACCAACAAAAGGAAATCTAACTTTAAAATGTTTGAAAGGAATGTAATGAAATCTATTACCGCATCACGTTGTTCATCAAGAAACCCTAAACCAACAAAGAAGTTTATTGAGGAAATATAACTTTAAAATGTTTGTAGGAAATGTAATAAATTATATAAATATAAAAAATAGAATGGAACATTCGAATTATAAATTAATAAATTTGATGTGATTATTTTGAGATTAAAATAACTAATAAGTGGTCGTACTCGTTTTATTATAGAGGCCACTAATTTTTTTAAAATTAAAAATAACTATCGTTATTGTTGGGGACAAATAGCCCAAATGCATTTTTTCTTCAAATATAATTATTTTACTTAGTTATATTATATAAAATAATTAATATTACAATCAAATATGGTCTTAAATTGGAACTAGAAGATTTTGACACTAATGCAATACTTTTTGGCAAATTTTTCATTCGGTAAGTATTGAATTAGTTCCTTCAATATAGGATGTTACTGTAATTATCATATTTGGGCCATGGTAATGTTAATTCATCTGATTTTGAATTTTCAAAATCAGATAATGATGAAATAATAATATCTATGATTATGCTAATCTATTAAATTAAAATATAAACAATATTCAAATTAATAAACTATAATAATGGCGTGTTAAAAAATTGAAATATGAAAAACAGCTGATTATAAAATATATGACTTTTTTCTTAAAAGGATTTTTATTAAATTTTTCAAATAAATTATTATTAAAATTGAATGAACGTTAAATTCGAAAGGAACGCCGTTCATCATTTTTTTCAAAAAAGGAACTTTTTTAGGAACGCGTTCGTTTAAATTTAAATATTGAATAATTTTAATGACTATCTCTATTTATGATAAAATTTATGAATAGGGCTGTCCATACACAATTTAATCAGATAAACGATCCCGATGTTTATTTACTATTTATTTTGAACAAAAAATATATATTTTTTAATAAAAACCCATTAACACGAATGATTAAATATATTTTGGTATTTTTTATTCTACAAAAGTTAACCATTTTATTTAAAATAGGAAATGTTTATGGCTAAATATAATATTGTTAGATGGCTAGAGTTCGCAGATTTTTTACCCTTTAAGGTCCTGTGAGCTAATTTGATATCATCAACTTGTATGTTATTCAATTAAGTATTAATAAATTCAATCGTATTTGATATTTATTTTCATGTTATATAAAGTTAATTAAAAATAACTTGCAAACTATGCATAAAAAAATATACTAGAAATATAATTTAAAAAATCCATATCAAAAAACAGTTTAAAATCAGGAATCTTTAAATAATTTTAAATTATAACTTAAAATTTCGAAGCTTATTTTGTTGTTTGATCAACAAAAGCCGTCGAAATAATGGTTTGTGGCTCTTTTGGCTAATTATGTTTCCCGAATGAACATTTTATTGATTCCATGATTGGTATGAATATATTGTTTTCAGATAGATGTGAATATTTTTGTGAATTTCTTTTCTTGGCAATACCCAAAAGATGATTATTATTAGAGGGGGAAAAATATCTATACATGTGAAATCGCAATTCACGTGTTTTCCAACCCAGGGAATTAAAGTATGTCCATTAAGATGTGAATTATTGATAACTGAAGTATCTTTCGGTTATAGATGTAAAGGAACATCGGCTTTAAATAATGAATTTGGATCATTTTTTCATGCCTTTGTACTTAATAAATACTCGAAAAGATTCTTGCTTTTTCGTCTACTTGTGCTCCGCATCTTAAACTTTTATAAGGTTGAGATTTTAATTCTTAACCTGATTGGCACAGCATAATCAGGGATTCAAACCGAACCCAGAGAAGAAAGCCCGGGTTTTTGGAAAAAAACCTGAACCCCGTTTATAAAATTTTTAAAACCGCGAACGGAACCCAAGAATTTTATTTGAACCCAGGTTCAATGTAAAATCATATAAGATATTTATATAATTGTTAATGAAAATGTCAAATTTCCAATTATGTAAAGTGTTAATAAATTCTAAACAACTTAATTCATTTACGCCATTTATAAATTTATTGCCATTGGAGTGACAATAAATTTTAAACAATTAAATTTATTTACACCATATATTTTTAATTTTTAACTAATTCTCAGATAATTTACTTGGAAATTGAAAGTGAACAAGTCAAAGCAAAAATTATTATATCAGATATTGTTAATTTAAAGAAATACATCTAAATAAAATTTAAATTGATACATGACCATGCTTTGTATTTTTAACTATATTTTGTCTATAAATAAAATAAAAAATTTATTTTTTATACCAAATCTATGTTTTGTTTTTTAATTATGATTTAAATATAGAATATTTTTTTATCAATTCAAAAATTCTTAAACCCGAGCTGAACTCGGGCTCAAAAATATTTACCTGAACCGAACCCACCTATTTTTTTAAACTATAAACTCAACTGAACCCAGGCAAATATTTTGTCGTATCTCCCTGTGCATAACTAAATTCAACATTTGTGAAAATCTTGATTTAGCCCTTTTTAAAAATTGGCTAAAAGGAGTTCTTTAAGAATAAATTCACTATAAACATTGCAAATATTTTAAGAGATTAGTAACTTTTGGAAAATAAAAATAAATACAAATCATTTGTGAAAGTTAGTTTTTTAAAAAAGAAAATAATATTTTATGACATTGATAAAAAGATATGATAAATAAAAATCAATATAAATAACGGATTGGTTTTTTTGTAATATCAAATCAAAGAAAAATATGTGGATCGGTAGAATCCTATAAATTATATTAAATTTAAAGGTTCATGGGAAAATTGTCTGAAATTCCTATGTTAGGTTGTCCAAATATGATGCAATACATTTCAGATTTTTAAATTTAAAAAATATGCTCAAAAAATGATTAAAAGTTGAAAAAAAACACTGTCACTAATATAAAGAATTAATTTTAAAAAAATCACTCATAAAAAGAAGTTGAGCATCAATGGGTTAAATCTAGCCAAATTATTATCCAAGCCTAAAAATTTGGCAAATTTTTCTGTCATCTGCAAGCAAAATCTTCACAATTGTATAATTTAATTTTTGAGGAATTTAAGGCATAGTTTATAATAATCATGTCAAATATTCATATATTTTTTAACATTATCTAAAGTATTCAATATATTCGGTTATTTAAAATATCAAGTAATTTATATGACCCAGATCAGATTTAGATTCAAATACATTCATTTATTTAAAATTTCCCAATCTTATCTACCACCTAAAAAATTTTATTTGGTCCAAAAACCAAGTTATTTTACATCATGGTTTAAAGAAAATTGCAATTTTAAACTACTCTCAAAGAATTATAACTATTTTACTACACAAAACATTTTAGATTGAGATCCACCCAATTTGCAGGGCTTTATTAAACATTACTTTTATGCCTACCAAAATTTTGCAATCAAGAACAAACTTGGATAATATTGGTCCAAGAATCAAGCTACTTAAAAAGGTAGTTTCCCCTCATGGTTTAAAGAAAATTGTCAAAATCAATTTTTCTCAAGGAATTTATAAATGGTCTACTACACAAACCGTTTTAGCCTGAGATCTACCTAATTTGAAAGGCTTTAATATAAATTACTTATTTGCCTACCAAATTTTAACAATCAAGAACAAATTTGGATAAAGCAGTTGAGATCAAAAGAACCTACATCAATCCACTAACCTAAGCAGAAACCACAAAAAATATAAAGGTTTCAATGATTTTCTTCTATTTCCAATAGTTGCATCCACTAATGGCTCCTTTACCAATATTATTCAAGTCGACTAATTTAATTGGATTTCCTTGTATCATGCAAAAATCATTTATTGTCAGAATAATATTAAAGTCTTTGTGTAATAAGATATAATAAATAATATTTGGTTTGATGTTGGCCTAAACTGGTTCTTAGTCATGACTTGTCCCCATATAAATTTTACCAAAAAATTAATAAAATTCTAAGCTTTAGTGTAAACATATCTTTCAAAATCAAAATGGCTTTATGAAGGTTATCATATCAATCATTTTCTATAAAATTAATAAGTAAATTATGGATATTAAAATTTCATTTTCAGTTATTTAAAAAACTAAAACAATCTGTACATTTTTAGCTATTATATTTTAATAATGTATGTATAATTTATTATAACTATGAATAAATAGATTTAGTCAAATAATCCAAATCCCATATCATCATCTGATTCGGGCTCATCTTTTTTCTCCTCTTTAGCTGCTATAATTATAAGTGAAATATATAACTAATATATTAGAAATACGTTTTGCTGCTTCTTTTTGAGTAGATTCATCTGCTTTTTTAGCTTTTGGATCAATAGCTGCTACAGCTCCACTACCGCTACCCATTGATAGCGAGCTTAACTTTTTTGTACCTTTATATTTAATGTTAATTTATTTATATACTTTTTTAATATACCTTCAGCAATTATATCATTTAACTTTTTACCCTCCAATGATTTAAGAACAAAATCCAAATTTTCTTTTTCAATTCCGACACCAACAGAATCCAATATTGACTGTATATCACTGGCTTTAGGGTGCTCATTGCCTCCTAAAACGGCTAGCATATATGCAGCAACGTATCGCATGATTTAATTTTAAGGAAATGTCAGACAACGAATGAATAATTTCATTTAAGTAATGCTAAACCGTAACCAGTATGCAATGATGTTAAGATTATATGTTTATAGGAAAGGAATAATGATTCATTTTAACCATTCATTACTCTATAAACCAATTGTTTAAATTTATTTATAAGAATAATTTAAAATAATATTCAATTAACATTGCATAACGTCTATCAATACAAATTATGGCGGTAGGTCATTTTGGTTTCTCAAATACGCAATTAACATTAAAATATTACAAAGTCTATTGTTTGAAAAATCAGAGTTTCATTTATATTAAATTATTTTGGAAAACATAATGATAATTTAGTTAACAAAATTTGAATTATAAGTTTTTAAAAAATAACTAACATTTTAAAAAATACCTGAGTTTTAGGAATAGGTCAAAAAAGTGCCAGACCTTTCTGTAATCTATAGGCTAAATCTCGAGGCTTAGGTAATAACTTTTGGTTCAAATCTTGAATTACTCTTATTTTTATAGGCTTCTAAATTGTTGGCAACACTAGCTTAGGACTAGCGAGGAATGTATTTAGTATTACTAAACGGCTCAATTTTAAACGGCTGACACAATTTAGCCAAAAAATATTTCACAAGCCTCAATAAGATTTTGACATCTATTAAATCTCGAGGCATGCGTATTATTATTTTGGCTACATTCTTGATTCAAAATCGGCATAATCAAGTCGTTTAACAACTCTATATCTATTCGATATGGGCAAAGACTTGCTGTTCTTAGAATTTTTAAATAATAATGCTATTTCACAATTTTTAAATTTGTTTAGACTCTTTATACCTCATTTGCTTGATTTCTACAAAAGTACATATAAATGGGTATAGGGTTATATTTTTTTAATTTCTGTTGTGCAAAATAGTCATTTATTTCGCCGTTAGGGAATTCTAAGTAATATTAAATTCCCTTTAAGGAATAAACAATCCCCACCCCCATCTCTTGAATTATTCAATAGAAATTTTATGACAAAATTGCATTTATACCCCCTCCCCCCCGGATTGATGGGTCGTGGATTTAAATAATATAAGTTAATATGAAGGAGGAGAAATAAAAGCAAAGACTAATAATTCTATTGTTTTATAAATTTTTATTTCCCCTAAACTAGGTGATAATGCATAAGAGCCGTGTAAAATTGTACACAAGGTGTAAAACTACAAGTGAGTTTATTTTTAAAACTAAAAATTATAAGTCTTAAAGTTAAAAGTGTTTTGGATTGTTAAATTGGATTTATATATTTAATTATTTTATTTATACTAGGTGTTGTGTAGCATAAATTGTTGTTTGTTTTATTCATTCGTGTTCGATATTAACATATCAAATATTTAACTCAATACAAACATATTTTATATATATTAACTTAATTTATACCTCACTAAAGTTTTCTAAAAATATTTAAATGTTACGAGTTTATTTTATTTTATTTAGAATAAATCAAGGTTACAAATTTAATTTAATTTAATTTATTTTAAAATATTACATTGATATCAAACTAAAAAATCAGGCTTATATAACAATTTTCATATTAATATATAAAAAAATCAATCTAAACAATTTATATTAAAAAAATGAATTTATATAAACATAAAAAAACAATTTAAAGGTTAGTATTAATCGGTCATATCAACATTCCACCCTTTATAAAATGATCTCCACTCAGGTTTTTAATGCATGTGAATCTTATCGTGCAGTCTGTCATAGTCTTGGAAAATGATATTTATTTTGGTTGTTCATATGATTGTTCAAGTCGTTCATAAGTCATTGTAATCGTTGGCTTGATTCTATCACGTTGGTTTATTAATATCGTTCTGAGTACGCTGGCTCGTCATCAAGCTCCGTCATTATCAATGTCAATTTTACAAAATTGTTATTATCACCAATTGTAAAATTATCATTATTAAATAGGATTTCGGAATATATTAATAATTAGAGAATCGATCAAATTTGGATGTTAGAATAATAAAAGGATGATAAATCAACAAGGTTGTTAGATAATATTTTTATCGTTTTTTTTATTTTTTATATATATTATTTTAATAAATGATGATAAGATGATGATATGTACGTCTGTACATCCATCTCTCTCTTCAGAAATTAAAACTTTATGCCCTTATTTTTTAATTTAAAAAGTATTTTGAAATAATAATTATTCATAAGATTGTTTTTAGTAAAAAATAATTTTTTGAGCCTTAAATTTAAAAAAAAAGATTTCTTCATCACATACTTGAGTATTATTCTAGAATGAAGACGTTTAGTTTTTATATGACTTCTCTTAGTGATACTTTTAATTGTCTTCAAATTTATAAGTTTCAATTTTTTTTTATCGCATTTAGTAAGAGTTTTTTTAATTTAATTATTTTCTTTAATCTTTGTTTCATTGTTTTCTTTAATGTTTATTTCCTTTTTTTCTATAATCTTGAATATTTCAAATTTTATTATATAATTAAACTCTTTTAGTTTATAAGAATCTCTTTCATTTTGAATATTTGGTTTTAATTCAATATTTTTCAATTTTTTGTTACTAAGAGATTTATTTTATTAGAACGATTTTTTTTATTTCTGTAGGTCAGAAACATTTTAATGTGCACATGCTTCATCATAACTTGAATTTAACTCTCTTGGAAACACAGCTTTCATGAATAAATATAATTCATCTGATAAATTACCTATTAATAGAGTATTCTTACTATCATGAAATTTTAAATAATCTTCTTATTTGTCAAAGGACTTTGTTTTATTATTATTGTCCCATATAGGTTTATTCATAATTTAGAGGTTTATCATTAAAATTTTTTAATTATCCTTCATTTTTCAAATTATTCATTTCTGACGTGTTTTTAAAATGATATAAATATAACATTCCAGAACTTTTATATCTAGTTATCTATGTTCCAGTAGCTAAAATCATATTGTCTGTGGATTTAGAAAATTTTGTAAGTCATTATAGCCCAATTTTATTTAGTTCGTCTAATTTGATATATACCTTATCTGGTAGTCCAGCGTCTACATGGCCGGGGGGGGGGGGGTAGGAGACAAATGCCTCCAAAATATATTGGCATTTTTGCGGATAGGTATTGATTTTGGGGGGTTGATATTGATTTTTTGGGAGAAGACATTAATTTTTTGGGGGTAGGTATTGATTTTTGGGGGGTAATTTTTGATTTGAATTATAATCTTTTTAAATCCATTCATTTAGTGTTGTTAAACGGCTCGTTTTGAGCCGATTTTTAAAAACGCTTAACTCACTATTTTATCCAGAATAATATAACTCAAGCCTGAAGATTTTGCTCGTATAAGTAACAACGGTCTAGGAATATATTATCGAAATCTCGAGGCTTATGTAATATTTTTCTGCCTAAAAAATAGAGTTAACCGTTTTAAAAAATCGGCTCAAAACGAGCCGTTTAACAACACTACATTAATTGATACGATTATGATGGTTATCGTTGATTTTCTGACAAATGTCAATTAAAGTAACGATATTTGTCAATTAATAAATAATATGAACTTTCTTTATCAACCATTTTCATTTACCATTTTATCAAGTTTATTTATACATTTCCTATTTGGTACTTTTCTTAGAGGTTAATATATTTATATTATGTTTTTAAATAAATTTCTAGATTTTAGCAGGATAAATTTTAGGTAATTTTTTGAGTCATGCTTAAAAACATTTATCAGCAAGCAAAGAATGATAAAAAACATAATATGTAAAAAATTATATTATAATAATTATTTCTTTCTAGATGCCAAGTAACAGAACCTTATTTAAGGTAAAGTGTAATTACCTTAACTGTAAAACTTCTAAAATATGAAGTGACAAGATACATGAACATTAGAAACATAAACATCTTCATGTCAAGCCAACTGATATGAAATTTACAAAGGTAGCCATCAAAGGAGATAATAATAATTGGGTATCCTTAAATTGTGATATTCCATATAATATCCCAAATGAAGTTGAAACCCAGTTGCAAAAAGGACAATAACATCTTACTTCCAAAAAGTAATATTTTTTATTTATTATTGTAACTAAAGACAAAAAATATTATTGAAAATATACCTTAAATTTGTGAATTAATAGAAACTGATTTTTATTTAAAATTTTACCAAAATAATATTAATATTAAAGTAGTCAGGGTATAGAGAGAATAAATTATATATTTTATTATTAAATATTTTTTTTACCTGTTTATCACACTATTTTTATATCTATATATACTTTATAAAGTTCAATTTAACAATATGTTTAATAGGTTAATAATAAAAATTTAAAACCAAAGTATTAAAAAAACTTATTAAGTTAATATAATGTAGTAAAATAATAAAAGTAAGGAATTTCTAGTTAAATTTAAATCTTTTCATCTTTAATTGAATTAAGATTTCAAAGTTCTTTTACTTTTTTTTATAATATGAATTGGATTCAACTATTTTCAAAATGTTATCTGCGTGAATTTCATCCACTTACATTATATGTTATATTAGGTATGTTTATAATATTATCATTGTTTTATTTAGCTATTAGAATTTCTTTAGATAATATACTTTCATCATAAATTTCACAATGTTATTTATACTAATTTTTCTATTCATAAGTTTACTATTGTTTTTACAGTCATTATAATATTCTTTATTGATTTTTTCATGTGTTCGCAGTTTTATATTAATCAGCATCTATCATGCCTATGAATCTTTCAAGTATATTTTCAAAATGTTTTAACATGATCTTCCTAACAAAGACATTTTATTAATGTTTGCGTTCAAAATTTGTGAATTCCCTTTGTATTCTACATTCACTGCTGTACCTATCATTGTATCATCTTGCCATTGTAACCTGATAACTTTATGTTGGACTTATAATATTTTTAATGCCTGTTTTCTCAATCATGTATTCTTGTAGAATTAAAAAATTTATTAAAAACTTAATTATAATGTATTTAAGAAAAAAATTACCATTTGGCTAAAATTTTATTAAAAATATAGTTTTTCATAAGGAAAGAAATTAAACTCC